AGTCCAACAACAACAAAATACAGAACAAGTCCCATCACGAAGCAAAAATCAGCAACCAAAACAGCGCTAATCAACAGATACTTCCGAGTCATTAAACACAAATGTCGAGCAAAATTGAGAATCATAAATTAAAAAACAAAGCAGTAACTACAATTGAAGCTCGAGCTGAACGCTGTGCTGAAAAATACCTCGCCGGCGGCAATAACCAGGTAAAAATCATCGACAAATTGCAGAGTGAAAGAGCAAAGAGAAAAAGAGGGGCAAATTGTGAGCCACTGAATTAAAAGGCCCTATTTATGGAAGATTTTAAAAGTGGTTTTGAAGATGAATTTTTATATAGTACTTACCTAATATGGCAAAAGGAAATATATAATTCCTCTTTTGGACTACGTCGACACATTAAAACAAGTAACACAAATTATTCAACAATTCACACTCAAATTTATTTTTTTTTAATTCAATTTCACTATCTTCAATATTAGTAATGAAATTAAATATATTAATCAATCATTTTTCACATTACTATCAATTTTAATTCGGTGTTCGCATAATTTTAATCAATCATCACTTCATATCATTTTTCTCTTGGTTTTGTATCAAAACAACTTTAATTATTTCATTTAAGAATTATTTTAATTTAACAACTAACTACACAATTTTATTTTTTTTTCAAAATTATTTATGATTAACAAAAAAAAAAGTTCATTTTAAATGGATATATTTGTATCTAAACACGCCCGATATTCACAATTTCGAATTTAGTTGGTATTTGTTAATACAAGATTAAGGTTGTCTTTACAAGTTACAAAAGTAAATACTAAATAGTCAAGATCTTTGCTTATTTGTATAATTGGTTATTTTAACTATTTCATCTTATACTCACTTTTAAGTGTTGATATTTTAGGGCATGCGAATGGGGTAGATTTGTTAAACGATACAAGTTGATTATATTAAACTAATTGAGCTCCAGAATATGAAATTTTACATAATGTTTTGATTTTTATTCTACTTCATATTTCGAAGATTTGAATACGGCTCGAGTTATTAAAGTGGGTGAGGCTTAAGATTATAAATTTATACTTCCTCATATTCTTTTATTTGTCAGTTTAGCTTTAACTGACTGTTAAGCAAATAAATAATGTTTTGGACATGTTATACATATTTTTTATTGTTACCATCATTTAATTAATACACTATACGTTTTGGGAGGAAAATAAGACAATGAGTTGAAAAGGAAGAAATTAATTATTGTTAATTTACTTTAAATAAGATTAATATTGACAAGGTTTTTTTTTCTTTTAATTTATATGCTAAAGCACAAAAGGACATTTAAAAAGATTAGAGGGAGTAATTGTTTTCTTGGTTTTTTACACTTCTTGAACAAAGTTTTTTCCTTTTATACAGTATTAAATATTTTAGGATTGGATATTGATGTGGTCGTTAGTAGCGGCTCATGAAGGACCAGTTGTGACCTGGATTCTGGTCGTTGGTAGGCGGATGCTTGGGTAGGCGGAGGCTTTGGTAGGCGGATGCTTTGGTAGGCGGAAGCTTGGGTAGGTGGAGGCTTTGGTAGGCGGATGCTTTGGTAGGCGTAGCCCATGGTACCTTTAGAGTACATGGGTGGTAGGTGGAGGCTAGCTCAACGTGAGCTAGGCAGGGCACCTTGGCACCTAGGTAGCTGGACGTTCCGCTGAGGAGACCCGAGCCCAGAGGTGGTATCGTGCTCAAGTCGTGAAGAGGTTCGCAACCTCAAGTACTCTTGGAATTTTGACCTAATCTGAGGAGAAGACTCATGGTGTGATAAGAACTCTACAGCCTCTACATGTCTTCATCTATAAAAAGGGCGCAGGTTATTTCATTTACACAACACACATTCACGAGTTATCTCGTTACTCTGTCGTTTTCTCTCTAGACTATCACTGACTTGAGCGTCGGAGTGTTCGCGCCGGGATCACCCCCGGCGTGCTTTGCAGGTACCGACGATCAAGGAAACGCAACTAGTTCGAGAGAAGCGGTCCAACGGTTCGAGTATTTGTGGTATAACAAATATACTTGAGTTTCTTTACATTAAGTCATTCATAGATTTTAAGGCAAATTGTTGTATGAAGTAATGTAACTGTTAAATGAGTCAATACCTATTATTTTTTGTTAACAAATATTTTATAAAATGTTATAATTTTATATATTTTATTCATCGTTTAAACCATACAAGTAGTATATTATTAACAATGTGATTATGTGTTAATGAATTTAGAAAAAAAATGGCTACTTGTGTATTTTTATTGACTTCATATTTTATTTTACTTTCACTATAATATAAAATATTAAGTGTTAACATATCACATTTTTTATTTTTGCATATAGTTATGTAAAAATAAGCTAATAATAAAAGGTAAATTAATGGCTAGGAAACTTCCACGTCTAGCAGACGTAGTAGTCCAACGGGGAAAGTAATGCCAAGTCACGCTAACGTGGCTGTTTATGGGGCCATACTTCATACTCGCCCATCCATCGGCTGGTTTACTGCCACGTCACTAGATTAAATCTGAGGAATTTAATTTGCTAAAAATAAAGGGTAAACAATGTTTTGGTGATTAGTCAACGGAAGGAAGACGGAACAAATAAAAAATGTAGGAAAATTTGTACCAAAAAAAAAAATGTAGGAAAATGTTATGTCCCGTTATGGAATATACTGGAAATAGCTTTTTATCCCGTCATGTTAAGTTTTTCACACCGTTCAATAAAAGTATCCACAATGCTATGAGTTCAATTCCAAAAAATTGTATGTCACATAAGAAATAGACATAGTCTAAAAAAATGTATTCTCCAATGCAAACAAAAGTAGATTAGGTCATGCTGATGTGGCAGCCAGAAAAAGAGACCCGGTCTACCCTTAAGTTCATTTGAGAACCAAGTAGAGACTTAGTCTCCTTGCATTTGGAGTAGATTTTGTTAATTTTATAAATTTTTGTCCATGTCATCCAAGACTTAGGTTCATTTACATTCCACATATACAAGACTAGACCTAAAGCATTGAAGATGCTCTAAGAAACTAAATTTTTCACTCTAGACAGTGTGAAGACATTGTGCGATGAATATGTGACAATTGTGCGATGACATTGTGCGAAGTTAAAAGTGCGAAGACATTCGCATATCCCTTCGCGCTTTCTGGGGTGAAAAAAAGGTAGTGCGAAGGCATTGTGCGATGAATATGCGACAGTTATGCAATTGATATGCGACAGTTATATGACAGTTTTTCGCATAACCTTCGCATATGCGACAGTTATGCGATGAATATGCGACAGCTGTCGCATAATCTTGGCACTTTTCGAGGTGAACTCACTTTCTATTGGACGGTGTGAAAAACTTAATGTGTCTTTGTATTGGGGTGAAAAAGATCTTTTCCTATATTTATAACCGTTAAAATATTATGTAATCGTGGGGATAGTTAATTTGATGGTAAAAAAATCCCGACAAAATGATTTTGTAACGGGACAGTAGCATCTCCAAAAATGTAACCTATAAAGAAAAAAGGGAATGGACAATTGTTACTTTTAATCTTATAGTTCATCCATTATACACAGTAATGCTCCCTACACACGATGTGCACATGTTAATATGTCCACCGCTTATGTGGCATGTACACATTAGTGATGTATTTTTAAATATATTAACATCACCAATGTGTGCACGCCACATAAGTGGTAGGCATATTAACATGTTCCCATCATGATAAAAGAACATTATTCCGATTCTACAATGTTATTTCAAATAGTTATTTTGCCCCCAATTAATAAAGTACATAACTTAATATTTTTATAAACAAAAATGCACACATCCCCTTTATATGTCTTTGCTAATATTCATACTTATTGGACATGCACAAATATAAACATAATTTATATTTTATGTGTATAATATTTACAATCATAATAAGTCAAATAATGATCATATCACATTTTATGAATTTTATTGACTAAAATTAAACAATATAAATATAAACTATTTAACTTAAATATGAATCACTATATTGATTGGAGTAATAAAATATTTAGAATTTTGAATAATTGCGATTAAGTAATTAGATGAAAAAATATTTATATTATTATATCAATTGTGCACAATATTTAAGGGGTTTGTTTATGTCATAAAAAATAATTACCTAATTTTAAAAAATTATTAATGGGATGAAAAATAAAGGTCATAATAATTTTAAATAAATTGTTTGAAAAAAAAGTTTGGCAATATAATTTTTACTAGTACAATACATGTGTATTACACGGGTGCTTGTTAAAAAAATATTCTTAAATTTTAAAATTAATGAGAAAACTATATTAAATTTAGTTTACTTTTTTACAAAAAAATATTACTATA